GAGAATAGTTTCTTGATCTGTTTTGATAGTTTTTGTTTCTATTTCTATAACTATCACAGGATCTATTAAAAGAATGTTTATTGTATCGTCTGTTGTTTGGATAATTTTATGATCTATTGTTAGAGTAATTTTTTTACGATTATTTGAATAATTTCGATTGCGGTTGTTTGAAGAGTTTCTCGATCGACCGATAGAATAGTATGTTATAATTTGACTTATTACTTCCATAGGAGTTTGATCTAGAGTAATTGTTTCTGTACCGATTTTTTTGACTATTTGATCTAATATGTCCGTTTTGTGAAAAATTTTGTGAAATTCGTCTATCTGCTGATCTTCCGCGAAAGATATTAGAATAAAGGGATTGTGATCAGTAATTATTATAGCTAGTTGGTAGTGGTTTTCTTGTGCTAATATTTCTTTGAATGTTTTTGTTTGGTAAACACCGTTCTTTTTTCATGTGTTGGTAGAAGGACTTGTTTGGTTCTTTGTGTTTTGGTGGTCTACTTGAATTATCTTGTTGTTTTTGTCTGCATATAGTAATATTATGTCAGTTTTTGCGGCAATAGTTACACCATTCATTTTTTATTGAAGTTTTTCTTTTAAATTTTGGGTTCTTTTCATAGATGTTCAGGGTTTGGGTAATTTTTTTCTGCTAATTCGTTGTCGGAGTTTTGAATGTTGTTTATATTTGAAGTTGTTGTTTGAACATTAAAAAAGTATTGTAGTTTTAAATTTTCTGCTTCCTCAAGTTCCATTATGATTTCAGCTTCTTCTAATTTGTCTACTAGTTTTCAGAAATAAATATCGGGTTCTCGGATTGATGATGGATGTGATGCTCTCTTTTTCATTGCTTTTTTAAATTGTGGTGTTATAGCCATCATTAGAGTTTTTGTCATTTTCGTAATTTCGTAGTCATATGTATTGAGAAAATAAGCTTTTCGTACTAGAGTTTCGACTCTCACTGAGAGTTGTTATTTTGTTTCATTTGGAAGTCTACGAGTTTTGTTGCATAAAATTCTTTGATGTTGTTTTTTTTTCGTTAAGAGTCGAACAATTTTGAAAAATTATTTTTGGGCTGCGCCGTCGAGTGTATTGTGTATCAGTGCTGTGCGTCTATGAATACCATTTGATGAATAGGTGTGTTTATAGATTCTGCGCCTATGTTTAAGATTAGGTTAGCTGTAACAGCGTTTGAGTAGTCTTCTACTGAGTATTCAGGATCTGTTCCTGTAAATACCATAAGTGGTTTGTTTGATGTTATAGATTATCCACCGGTATAGATTCAATGCCATTTAGAGTGATTCTACTGTGTTTGGTTTTTGTGTAAATTTTGTATGTTGAGATTTTGCAATTTCATGTTTTTGCAGAAAATAAGGCAACGGGATTTCCTTTTTCGTTATTTCGGGTCGGTAACTTCGAGTGTTTGTATAAAATTGTGGTTGTTTGTTATTATTAGTTTGTGCCAAATTTCATCTTTGAGAATTTTTTTGTTGTGTTTCTTTTGGTTGTTGGGAGTTAATGCAAATTATCTTCATATTCAGAGTAGTGTTTTCGTCTTCTTATGAATTGCCTGAGGTTTGGGTTGTTTTTGTTTTAATGAAAAAAGGGATAATTTTCGGTGCGTACTGTCTCAATTTTTCTTTTATAGTTAAAATTTACAGATTGAGATTTTGGTTTTGGTACTTGTTGGGTATTATTGTGGTCTTGCGATTGATTTTATGTTGTATAGAGTGGTCGTGCTATTGGATTACTAATGTTATGGTTAACGAAAAAACCAAAATCATGGTTTGCAAATTTATTTCCAATTGGGTGTCTTGGTTTGTTAGGCGGTGGTTTTGTTTATTGGTCTCTGTTTTTGATAGTCCTTTTTTGAATCGATTGGAAGGACTGCTGGTTTGACTATTGATTGTAATGTCGTTGGTGGAAAAAGATTACTGTTTTTTTTGTGTGCTCTTGTAATTGATGGAAAAGAGAGATAATTTCTTTTGTCGTTATACGTAGTCTTTCCACTACTTCGGGGTTTACAAAATTAGATAGAGTTTGGATATCTTGTTGTGTTAAGTTTCTGGTACCTTTTGGCTTTCTTTTGGGTTTCTTTTGGGTTTCTAAATGTTGAATTTAAATTAATTTAGCTTGTCTTTTCATTAGAAATTGCGTTTAAATTTGAAAGTGTGGTATCAGTTGTGCGTGAAGTTACTCTTAAATAGTCTCTGTGTACGGAAAAAGTTGCAATTGCTGCTCTTGAAATATCATTTGGGATGTTTGTACATTAGACCATTCATGGGGGTCCCATATAAAACCTGTTTTGTCTGCAAATTTTGTTTTGTAGCTTTGTTGTCTAAATTTATTTTCTTGCTTGTGAATTTACATCTAGTTTGTTTTGAAAAAAGTCCATAATGAACCTTGAAAAGCTTCTCTGTAGATCAATTTTGATTAATTGTGGTTTTTTTCTATCAGTGAGTGTTTCACGAATTGAGTCTAGAAATCGTGAAAAAAGATTTATTTCGCGTCTTACTGTTGCATGTCGAGATGTTTGTGGTGGTGATACATAAAATGTTTCAATCGTTTCTAATATAGAAACATAACTATAATTGATGGAAAAGTCATCAATTTTCAAGGTTGATTAAGCTATTTGTGAGTTTTGATGATGATTGTTTTTGACATATGTAAAAAATTTTGAGATAAATAAATCTATATCATTTGTTTGTTTTCGGTATGGTGGTTTGGCTTGATGATTGTGGTGGTAAAGATTCAAATGTAAATATGCTGTTATGTGAAGTGATAATACTGATGCCTGGTAGGGAGTGATCAAAAGTTTATTTTTTGATTTTTACTTCAGGAAATTGTTGTTTACATGGGCCATTTCCTTTTTGAAATGAATTTACGATTAGATTGTGGCAAAGTTGTACTTGTCCTCTAGTGGCATCGCTTTGCCGAATAATGAAAAAGGAAAGGGTAGAGTCATTTGTTGTGCGGGATTACAGTTAATGTGTATATTTCAATATGTCGCATTGGTTTATTCCAATTGTAGAGTCCTACTGATTTGCAATTATATGCTTTTTTGTCTGCGTTTACCTTTCATAGCTGATTCTGTTGTGGATTCTATTCTGAAAAAAAAATCTTTGATTGTCAACTGCCTTACTTTGGTCGTAGTTTAAATCTGGAAGGTTTTGAAGTTCTTGTTTAGTTGTTGAATCAGATTCCGAAACTGCATTTCGTGTTCTGGCTCCTGTACTGGAAAATTTTGACTTAACTATTTGCTTTTGTTTTGTGGTTATTGCCTTCTTTCCTAATTGTTTTTTTGATTTGATTTATCCTTTTTTTGTTTATGTGGTTTAATTAAAAGATCGTATTTTTCATTTTCAAATAAACAATTGTGGAGTATTGTTGTTTGTTTGTTTCAAAAATTATCTCTTGACTTAAGTGTTAGAGTGAGGGGTGCAAAATCCAAGGGTTCGCTTTTCTATTTTCTAAATTGTTAGTCCTTACGATTTTTGTGAGGTTAATTTAATCCTGGGGGTTAGATTGGCGTGTATAGACGGGTTGGAGAGAAAATATATCAATTCGTTAGAATGTTGTCTTACTTCCTCGGTGGCTAAAATTTATTTTAAGAAAAACTTACTTAATCTTAGCTAGGGTTGTGATTTTGTGATTATGGGTTGGAGAATAGTAAATCAATCCACAAGGTTCAGGTATAACTAGAACACAATTAGATCGTTAGATACTTTTTTAAGTCTTACTCATTTTAAGATATGTATTTAGCTGGGTCGTCGATTAAGAGGAGGCGCTCAAGATGAATAACCGAAAATCTTCACTGTTTATTTTAATCAAAAGGTGAGTTATTCAAAAATTTTGAATTAGACCTGGGTGTTTTGTAAAGGTTGGAGAATGAATCAACGTTTGAGTTCGTTAGACACCATTATTAAGAGGTTGGGCGAACAAAGTTGCTGTAATTAATCCAAGGTAAGCCGCTTTGATGATCAAATATTTAAAATGATTTAGAATTAAAATTAAGTTTAAGTTTTAAAGATCCACGGATTGCCTTGATGGTCTGGCTTTAAAAAATATTTTGGTTGAAGTGGTCAGGAGAGGCCTTGACAAGATTTAAATCAAGTCAAGGCCTCTCAAAACTGTTCTGATGAAGTGCAACTGTTTGCTAAGTTAAATTTAATTTGTTCTGGCTGAAATTATAAATAGTTTCAGCCTTACAAATTATTGTAAGTATTAGTTATGGATCATGATTGGATCAAGTTTTTTTACAGATTGTTTATCAAAAAAATAGTAGGATAAAACAAATACTTGTTTGGAACTGGTACCAAAAGGCGCCTCAGAAAATTTTTAGGGTTAGTAGGTCTTAAACGGATGTCATAAGGTAATACCATAGGGGGATCTTTCAATTGGTGAGGGAGTCAGCACCATCTGCATCTTACTGTCAGCACCAACTGCATCTTAGCGTCACATTACCTTTCCAGGCCTTTTTGTTGGTTTTAACCGGCTTGAAAAACCGTTCAAAAATCACCGCAAGATATGAGCGATTTTAAGCAAGATTTGAGCGGTTTGAGCGGTTTTTCCAAACAAAAACCGCCCAAACCGCTCAAATCTTGCTGGAAAACCGCTCAAACCGCCCATATCTTGAGCGGTTTTTGAGCGGGATCTCGACCCGGGCACCCACGAAACCCCCCCCCCCGTAAATCCGCCCCTGAATATATGGTCAATTACAGGATTGATTGCAAGCTGTGCAGTTGCGCTTTGAGTTGAAAACGCCTGATATTTTTGTCCAATTTTTTCGTTTTTTTTCTGTTTTTGAAGTTTTTTCGCCTATGACTAAAATTAATGAGCTGCATGTTTCTTATGGTAAGTTTAAAGCTGTTTCTTTTTTTATATCCATGCTTAAATAAAATTCAGAAATCTATCTGCTTGTGGATCTGAGACTGCTCTTGAAGTTATCTGCTCATTGCATTGTAATCATCAAGTATTACCTTTTTGCTGCACTGCTGATGCTGATGCTTTGCTGGTATCATTTTCTGTGGTTTTCTGATGTGGTTTTTGACAGAAGACTCGCAGCGAACAAAATTCTTTCTTCAATTGTTCTCGAAATTCTAGGTTTTGAACAATGAAAAGCAGGAAAACAATTGGCATGTTGAGTGCTGCGAAAATAAATGAGAGGCTTCTAGCTAGATTTATTAACTGGATGTTTTCGTTAAAATTGAGCCCGGTTGAAACATAGTCATTTTCGACAACTCTTGAAACTGCAACTATTAACTGGCGGACGACAGAGAATATGAAAAACGTGACGCTGCACAAAAGAGAGCCACTTGTCATTGTTTTCTCTATTTGCCATTCCTCGTTTGAAATTTGTTCCATTTCTCGTAGTTCTTCAGTCATTTTCCTGGAAATGAAAAAAAAAGGTTGAACATTTTGATTTTTGCTCATCATAATTCTCTGACCATCAAAGACCGTAAATCCGAAATTATTTCAAACGTCTGATTACTTGTACCATCAAGATCTTCAATAACAACGCACAAAACTTTCAATACTTAATTTTTACAGCAGTTTTTTTTGCTATAAAAAAATCGTGGGCATTTTTCGCAGATTAGTGGTTTGGATTGATGATTTCAACAACCCGGGCTGAAGTGCTCGACTCATGATTCGACCGAAATGGTCAAACGATGTGCATTTTCGACTTTTTCAGGCGAACGATGTCCGATTTCGACATTTTGAGTCGAACGATGTCCGTTTTCGACTTTGTTCGACTTCACCGGACATTGTTCGACTTTGCTCGACTTTGTTCGACTATACTGGACATTGTTCGACTTTTTCGACTTTACCGGACATTATTCGACTTTGTTCGACTTTATCGGGAATTAGCCGAAGAGTTCTGAACTACAACGACACTCGGAAATCATTGGACCGTTTCTGTCAAATCAACTTTCAAAAATCTCAACCTGGGCAGCCACAAAATATAATAGAAAATGCCACAAAATTGAGCATCGTAGATTTGTGTAGCCCGAGTTGAGTTGTTGGACTTACCTTTCAATGAAACAGACCAAAAACGGCTATGTTTCGACGGGTTCGTTTAAAAATGGCTATGTTTTGACCGACTCGACTCAATTTTGCTATGTTTTGACCGACTTGATTTTAAAAAAATGGCTTCGATTGTGTTTGTTGTAACCTAACTATGTTGCGATCGACTCGGCCCAAACTGGCTATAATTCGACCGACTCGACCAAAGGATAAAGTGCTCGACAGTGTTTTTTGAAGCAAGTCGATTAGTTTTGAACGGGCTCAGCCTAATGAAAATTTGATCGACCGCAGCCCATAATATTTTGAATGACTCGAAGAAATTAGCGGTGTTTCGAACGTCTCAACCATAACGAAAATGTCTTCAACTGTAATCGACGCAACTAAGTTTAGAAAAAAATTCTTAAAATTTCTGTTAAATGAATCAACCAGAACTGAAAATAGGGGTAATAGGCCAATGCGGAGACGGTGCGACATTCCAGAACAAGGCGGAGACGGCGCAATTTTCCAGGCTAAGACAGAGGCAGCGTGCCATTCTAGACCAAGGTGGCGGCGGCGGCGGCGCGACTTTCCTAATTTTTATCTCTATAGCTGCTCTTACTTTCGTGGATTCACAAATTGACCCTATTCTCAGTGCAATCGAAACACGCATAATGAAATTGATGGAGCTTGCACATAGGTTCTCGTAGTTTCCGAATTTATCAGCTGCACCAATTGCTTTTGACATTCTATTAAAACGTTATAATTAACTGGCAAATGGGGGAAATATTGTCCAAATGATAATAATAATAACCGATAGTTATTGAGAGCAGTCTCGATATGAAACTTTCTTCAAATGATTTTCCTTAAAAAACACTTCAGTTGAAGTTCTGAATGTATTCGTATCTCATACAGGGCTCCGAGTTCTGGAACATATGTATTTGGTTCTCATGTTTTGACTTATTTCCACATCTGCTTTTTTGGGTTTCCTTAGACGTGAGCCTGTCGTCAATGTAATCAATCACAACTAATAGGATTGAACGAAATCGAACTTGAGAGTTCATTTTCAGCGTCCAATTTTCAATAGCAACGAAAACTTTGTAACTAGTAATCATAAAGTTTCATTTACGTGGCTAATGGAAGTAATTATGACTGGACTTAAAAACTAGCCTCCCGCTAAAACAACAATTTATGTTTTCCTAGCTGCGATTTCATAATAAATGAGAATATTGGTACTCAGGGCTTTGCCCCCTGATACAAATGTTCTCGTTTACTATGAAATCGCAGCTGCCTCTTTAGGTCTTGAGATTTTTCGTACTGTCTTTTAAGGTCTATGGAGCAGTATAAATTGAAAAAACTAATTGTAATAAAAAAGAAAACATACTTTTTTTTGAGATTTTTTGTAAAAATCAACCCCTTATACGCCATATAAAGAAGAAAATGATAAACCTCGCTCCTAGTAACAAATCAATTATATAAATAAGCTTCCTTCAACCAATTTGGAACGATTTCTAAGACGGATTAAATTTCCACTTACGCGTTAATAGTGCGAAATATATCGCGCGTTAATTGTCCCAAATTGGCCAAAATGACAATTTTCCAACCCCCGTAACGTATCAAAAATAATCACAGGTGAAATAACTTTTCAAATTTAAACTCAAGACAACAAAATTTTTTGAATGATAAAAACATCCGACAAAAATGGCTAGTTAAAAAGTCGAAACTTGTCTGAAGAAAAAAAACCCACCCCGAGCACAAATATTCCGTTAGTTTCGTTACAAAAGTCGGAACAATAAATGATGCATCGCAGTTGTGAACTCCTGTTGAGAAGACAAAACCATTTTCACATGAGTTCAAAATATTTTAATTATCACACAATCAGAGGTTTTTGTTATTGCTTGCTAATTAAGAGGGACTGGGAATAGAAAAAAATCAGTAGAAATTTATGAAATATTTTTTTTCTTGTCCACGCGAGGAAACAGTTTGTCCAAAGACTTAAATTTCGAATCATTAAGATTCTAATTTACAACATTTTTGCCTGTTTTAGATAGTTATTTATCGTTTGAAAAATTATGCGTTTGATTTCACTTGTTTAAATTGCAATTGAGATTTAGCAATTTATGCAAAACATTTGACATTGTGTTTTGCTTTTAATTACTTTTCTGTGAAATATCAGTCTTAAAAAAGTATAATGCCACAAATTTGCTCCAAATTGTATCATAGAAACAGCATAACCCTAAACTTGTGTAATTTAGTTACTTTGACCTAAAATTATGAAATTTCTGATGAGCTCCGACGCAAATGCAACCGAAAAAGCAGCAAGACTGCTCGTATCAGGGCGAAGCCCTGAATGTTCCGACTGCCTTTTAAGGTCTATGGAGCAGTAATAACATGTAAATTTGAAATGTAATAAATTAAATTTTTGTTTCTAAAAAGTTTGAAATTTTTGTGAAAACATCCCACCACACGCTACATTAAGTACAAAGTTATAGATTTTGCTTCTATTAACAATTCAATTATGACATATAATCTTCCTTGAACCAATTTGGAACAATTTCTAAGACGGATTAAACCTCGCTTGCGCGTTGATAGGCGTTCAAATTTAGGCTCAAGACAACAATAGCCTTCGAATGATGTAAAAAATGTGGTCTAAAACAACTAGTTAACAAGTCGAAACTTGTCTGAAGAAAAAAACCCACCCGAGCACAAATGATCCGCTACTTCCGATACAAAAGTCGGAACAAAAAAATCATTTTTTTTGTTGCATTTAATTTTTTCATGTTTTTACTGCTCCATAGACCTTAAAAGGCAGTTAGAACATTCAGGGCTTTGCCCTGATACGAGCAGTTTAAGTTCGTAAAAACATAACTGCATGATAAAATTTGGAAATTGCAAAACAACAACGAGCAATATTGTTTCAAAGAGCCGCAAGCTGATCTTTTGGCCCTGATGTTTGAAGAAACTACGGTGTTTTTCTGTTAGATATATTTTTCTTCAGAACATGGTTGTGTATACTGCAATCCAAGTGTATAAATTATTTAATCCAAGTGAAGCAACAATTTGTATCACGCAACGATTCGCAACTACCGTCTAATGTACTCAGCAACTTTTTGTAATTGTTCCGACTTTCGTAACGAAACTAACGGAATATTTGTGCTCGGGGTGCATTTTTTTTTTCTTCAGACAAATTTCGACTTTTTAACTAGCCTTTTTCGACGTGATATTTTGTATCAATCGAAAGGCATTGTTGTCCTGAGCTTAAACTTGAAAATATATTTTACCTGTGATTATTTTTTGTAAAGTTATGGGGGTTTAAAGGTTGCCATTTTGGCCAATTTGGGACAATTAACGCGGGATATAATTCGCGCTATTAACGCGTGAGCGGAGATTTAATCCGTCTTAGAAATCGTTCCAAATTGGTTGAAGGACTCTCATTGGCCGTAATTGATTTGTTACTAGGAGCGAAATCTATCACTTTGTACTTAATATGGCGTGTGGGGGGATGAATTTCACAAAAATTTTCAAATTAAAAAAAAGAATTTCATTTTTTTCATGTTATTACTGCGCCATAGACCTTAAGAGGCAGTCAGAACATTCAGGGCATCGCCCTGATACGAGCAGTCTTGTTTTGTTAGAGGCCACCTTTTACAAAATTGTAACAAGGACCAATCGTAGAAAATGATTGTTGCTATTGTGATTAAAATCTGCGTTTCAGTTGTTAATTGAGGTTGATAGGGGATTAAACATTTGGCTTAGGGGTTCCGTCTGTTAATTGTGTCAGAAGTTTCACGTTGGGTATGCATTTTCAAGCGTAGTTCAATCTTGGCTTGATAATATGAGAAAAATAATATTGTTACCATCAATTCTCGTATAAAAATAAATTGGTTATTTAAGCATTATCAATAAGGTTTTTGGGAAATACATTTTGGTTAGGCCACTACTCTTCTACCTCATCATCAAACATTCGTGATACCAGCTCATAGCAATGGTTTCTCACGTATATGTATCCTTTTATGTTAATTGTTCCGACTTTCGAAGAAAACGGAAATTTATGCTTGGTGTAGTTTTTTTTATTCAGTGAAATTTCGGCGATCGAAATAAAAGTTTTTATCAAAAAAATTTGATGCCCATTGAAGATATTGTCTGAAGTCAATTTTAAAAAAATATTTAACCTCCGATCAATTCATGCAAAGTGTTGAGAGTTCGAAAATTGGCAATTGGGGTATGCTCTTGACTAATTTATGCGCAATTTGAAGATTTTATCCATAAGCCTTTTGAGCGTAACGCGAAATATTGATGCATGGCGAATCATCTTGCACAACAAAATTGTGATAAATCGAATTGAGGCTAGCTAATTGGTCGTATTATTTTAATAGGACTCAAATTTTCACACTTGATCTTTGATATTGTCTAAAATTCATAAACTTTTAAAATTTTATTTTCCCACAAATCTATTCGAGGTGGATTAAGGGGCAGTAGGAACATTCAAAGCTTTGCCCTGATATACGAGCAGTCTTCTTAATCTTTTAATTGTTTTTTCTTAAAATCACAAAAATATGATACGAAACGTCGCTTGATGCAAGTTGTCGCCAGTCTAAGTTAAAAAATCAACGCCCATTAATAATTTTCTTCTTTCTCTTGAAAGTCGAAGCAGTTAAATTGAATTTTTGTAATTTGTGCGATTCCTAATTGTCTGTTAAAACGCACGGAATTTTTCCGGATGCGATTATTATGCTCACGATTAGCAGTCGTTATCAAGTGGGGCTAAATTATTTATAGTAAGCGAATGCCCTGTTAGCAAATTGTCCTGAAAAAATTTGTCCAACAAAATAACCGAATTAATTTTTCGAATCTGTGCTTTGTTCTTTCAACAGACATACTTTGAGCATACCTGCATTTCAAATACCCGTGTTATTTAATCTAAATTTTTTTTGCGTCGTAGCATCATATTGCGTCGTTGGATGAGCAAAAATCCTATGCGTATGAAAATATATATTTTTTGCTCAACGGATGTCTGCTAAAAAAAAGCTTTGTTGCCGCTTCGTAAGTTATGATTCGATGTAAATTCAATTTTCAATTGTTTTGTTTGGCAAGCTTTTTGAACTGAATTTTACTCATGACAAATTTAGAACAGTATTTGAAAGTTTTGGTAGATCTAATTTTTCTCAACAACTTAAAAAAAAAAACTAAATTTAGCGACTTTGATCTAAGTTTTTGTCTGCTATTTTGTCATGCCTAGCAAGTAGTGCGAAGCTTTGTTTCGCCTCTGTGCAATTTTTTCTTACCTCAGTTTGATTGTAACGTATGAATTCAGTACTACGTTGAAAATCAGCGGAGAAATACTGAAAACAACACCGTAGCCTGCAAACAGTAACTCAAACTTTTCTTCAATGTTTTCTTTAATTTTGCAAACGTTGAATGGCTTTTGGAGTTCCACAAGAACTGTAAAGGGTAGATATGCTATTGTCGTCAGTATGAAGTTGGCAATAGTTCCAACAAGGGGGTAGATGAATCTGTACATAAGATTTCTTCTGTACCAGTTAAAGTGTTTCATTGCGATAACGCGATCTATGGTGAGAATCAATTGTTGATTATAAGAAGCGACAATCAATGATACGCCCAGCCACCGTGAGATTTTACAGGAAAGTGAGGAAAAATCTGCATACTGTAGACTGAAACAAATGATATTATCCAAGTTTGAATGATTTAATGGAAATCTTAAGTAATTTTTATAAGGCAGTAATAAGATCTTAGCTTAGCGAACAAGCCTCTTGAGCAAAAAGAAACTTACAGTAAAAGTTTTTTCAATTTTATCAAAGGACACCAACTTTAATATTAAAGTTAAAATTGCTCTCCAAAACCACAAATTTCTCAGTTAAAATTGCCTATAGAAACAAATTAGAAAGTTGTTTATTGAGAATTTTCTAGTTCATACAAAAAATATATATTTTTGTCGATTATTATTTGATCTATTTTTATCAAACGACTTGTTTAGTAGAATTGATTTTGTTCCAAATTGAAACGAATTGATCTTGTTCCAAAAAAATGGCCGTTTTTTAATATTGTGCCATATTAAGCGAAAAGTTTTATTGTAAAAGTTTCCAATTTCACTGAGTTTGGGAGAAATCTTTTCGCAGTTTAAGTTTAATACAAATAATTTGAAAAACAAAAAGTTGCTTAGGCAAATCAAGATCAACTAAGTTTTTAACTTTCTTAGGTCTTATCTTTTGAAAAATTGATAAGACTGAAACTCCCGGGAACTCCTGGGAAAAATAGGGAGCGTTAAAAATGAATATAAATACAAAAGCGGTTAAAATTAGTGAGAAAATAAAAAATCTTTTGAAATTGTTTTGCTCTCCGATATCTGGTATGCGTTCGAATATTCCTGTGCCATATAAACAGCGCTAATATTTTCATTCGAAAAAATTGAAAGTTTTACTTACGCTATGAGGCTGAAGGATTGAATAATGTCTGTAGCTGCCAACAAAATTATGTAAAGTTTGGAAGCTCTCTTGACTCCAGTTTTGAACATAATGAAGCATAGAAGAAAAGAACACATAACAGCAACAAAACACATAAATGGAAAAACGAATCGCCTGGTGATTTTGCCCGCAACATTAAGCTTGTTTTTGGTATACAAATGTTGAATTAGAGATGAATTGCTTGAAATGTAATCAAATTCGGCGTTCATTGTCGTTGAAATGCGGAGTTCCAATTCTCTGAGCCGAGTTCGATACAGCGGCGTTCAATAAAAGTTGACTTTTTCTCGTATCATGTATTGATTTTCCTTTTTTTCAAAATTGGCTGTTTTTTTCTGTTTTTGAAAACTATTCCTATGTAAGATTGATCCTCTAATGAGATGTTGATGAAATTTTCAGAAATATTATGATGATTTGTATTTTGACTATTTGACAACCGGAAACGCCAGAAAAAAATTCTATCATCTGTTTTTTGATTCCTGGGTCAAAACCTTTGCTTAATATATTCCATAAAAAAGACCCGAATGGGCTCAATTCTCAATAGATTTGGTCCCCTGGTTATCACGGAAAAAATTAACGTAATGGCACTAAGTTTTGAGAGCAATATTTAGAAAGGTTGACTACTTATCCCCTTCCACGGCTTATCATAGACCAAAAAAGGGGCCCATTCAGTCCCATTTATAGAAAAACAGTTATCTCGTCTGTTTCAAATGGACTCAATGAAAATCCACGACCTCTGTGCGACTTTTAATCTATCAATTTTTTAAGTTACAGTTTGTTTAGATCACCTTTAATAATAATTAGGAAACTGAATGAGCCGCTTTGTTCAAAATTGGGTTCATTAAGTTGCTTTTGCTGAAATTGGGCCCATTCAGCTCATTTAGCTTAAAATTGGGCTAATTCATCTCCTCTTTTAAGAATTAGGCTCAATCGGCCCCTTACTGGTGGATAATTGGGATCAGGTATGGGCTCAATTTGTTAAAAGTACGGCTCAATTTACCTCTTTTTGCTAAAAATTGAGCTTAATTAGTTCGTTTTTCTGATACTTGGGCTCGTGCAGCAACATAAACGGAAAAATAGACTAAAATGGGGACCAATTTCGAACAGTTTTTTTTCGAGAAAAAATTGATGTCATTCATGGAATCCCGGAAAAGCCGGTTTTCAGCAGCAAGAGAAAAAAATAACTGCCATTTAAATTTGCTGAAAAAATTTTCGGTCGAAAAAAGGCTTCATAAATTTCAAAAAAAACTGAAAATGTTGATTTTTTTCATAGTTATTTCCAAGTTTTGCTTAAGCAAAGTAAGATAATTTGTGTCTGACAACATAATAAGATGGGAGAAAATTGATTGGCTTAGCTCAATTTAATTTCTTAGAATTTGTCTTTTCTGCTTCAATAATGCGAAGTTGTCGCATATGTTTTTCCGTACGAATTTTAGTCCAACTTCTCTTAATTTCAAACGCTAACAACTTCGATAAAAATGTCTACACTGTGTAAAATAATTACGACTGTGTAGAAAATTGCTAAAAATGGAGAATTCAGAAATCGAAACGTGTCTAGAAACAAAACGAGTCCAATAATTTTAGAAAAAAAACAAGACATTAGAGCTCACGAAACTAAAATTAAAACTAAAAATACAAAATATGTGTCGAGTTGTGAAGGAGATCAACTTTCTGTAAATTAAAGATCAATAAGCGTAGACAGAAGCGTTTACTTTTCAAAATTCGTTTTAAAATCTATTCCAAACTAAATCAAAATATCCTAATAAGGTTTCATGAAAACGTTTCATCCGCAAACCAAAAAATATTTGTGGATGATTGCGATTAGCAAGCGTTATCAAACTGGTATATACATTTTTTCGTGTTAACACCTAATTTCATAAAATCCAGTTTAATTTGAATTGATAAAAAAGTTCAAACGACAAAATATTCTACAAGTTTTCCGGACCAACTGACAATCACCCCTCCCAGAGTAAATTATCGTAGATTAACCCCTAGCCTCTAAAATTTTGAAAATCGAGAAGGCATAAAATTTTCAAACAAGCGCGCAAAAATGTTGCTTCGTGAAAAAGCGGTTTAGACCTGTTAATAGCCTGAAGTGTTACTTAATATTTTGTTTCTATTAATACATTTGATTAAGTGAATCAAATAATTTTAGCCTCAAAACTTTTTTTCTGAAAATAACGTTTTCATTGCCCCCAAATTTAGTGGGGGGAGGATTATATGGTTAATTTGGTTTTCCAATTTAGATTTTTTAAAAAACAACCACCAGTTTTTAATTAAGAAACTCAATTTTCATAATATTGAGCTTAAAATTTGTGTATAATTAAAAAACTTTTAGATTTCACGTAAAGCCTTGCAGTAAAACTGTTTGCACCTCAAAACTCGAAAAAGAATTTAAAAAGATTCTGGGACGATAAAACTTCAGGGTAGTCTCCCTAACTGCCCATCCGAAGGTTTATAGGAAACAATATCAATAAAAGCACCAATGAAAAAACCATATACTTAGAAAAATTATTGAATGGGAAAAAGAAAACTACAAAGAATTAACACGCATCAATAAGCCCGAAAAACAAGAAAGACATTTATGAAATGCTTATTTACGTGAAAATCTATTGAAGTTCTTAATTAAATTTTGCTTGTAAAAATTGAACAGAAGGTTTTCTAAAATGAAATGTTTTTGCCAAATTTAAAAATTTCGATTGAAAAACTATAATCAATCGAAAATTCAAGCGGCGTACGGCTTTATCTCTTGACGTTTGCAATTCGCAAGCGTTACCAAATCGGGATATAGACAGTTTTCGGGTTAATAACAAGTTCATCAAAAATCAGTTGAGTCTTTTATGATGTTGCTTTGCTGCTGACATGCACAGTTTCATGAAATTTCAAATTTAACTACTGGGTATCAGCTACTAATGCTATATGCTATATCTAAGACTCAAGCGTCTTTTTGTATATTTAAGGAACTTCGATATGAGTTTTTTTCTGATTCTTCGGCTTTGATTCTTCGGCTTTGATGCTCTGTCGGTTTAGTTTCTAAATTCTGCCGGCCCCTTTGCATACGCTACTTATTTAGCTATTGTGATTCCTTGTCGGCGTTACATGCAATTTTCTTGCATAATGATTTTCTTGAGGAAAAGTTTTGGCTGAGTTTCAGTTTATTGGCTGTCGTCTTAAACTCTGTCGTCTTAACTACCGATTTTTTTCTTAAAATGTCTGGTACTAATTTTTACAGCGATAAACCTAAAGCCTCTGTGGCAATTAATTTGTTTTTTTTCTGATCGCTTACTTATAATTTTTCAAAAGCGATACTTATAAATCAAGCGATCAACAGAATGATTTTTTGCAAAAGAACTTTGTAGCTCATAAAATTCAATTGATTTTTGCTTCTTTTGAGATGAGGAGGAAACGAAGGATATTTGCGACCAGTAGAATATTTTTATAAGACAAATGTGGAAATATATAGCGGTGCCCTGAGCCAAAATTTGAAACTATATTTTAAATGCGAATCTTTTCTAAAAAAACTTTGCATTTACAGTTGCAAACACGGCCAAGTTGAGATAATTAACGCAGCATATGCCCGGGTTGACCAAAAATGCTTATCATACAATTCTCATAAATGGGAAATTTCTTTTCATACAATTCCATACGTACAGAAAATTGCATGAAAACTCTATAATAAACATTTTTCCATAAATGGAAATTGTATATTAGGTGTTTTCTCCATAAACCAAAAAGTTGTTTTTTGTTTCTTAATTTATTTTCTGAAAAAATTTGGGTTGTTTTTGCAACCGAACACAAGTGAAAAAGACCTTGGTTACTCAAAGCACCAAAGGTTGGACAGTCTTACATTTACAATGCATAAAAAAACTTTCAGTGATGATTATTTTAAATTTTTGAATTTTCAAATTATCAGACATTGATCAAGGCATACATAAAAACGCCATACAACAGAAATAGGAATTTTCAGCGTTTTTGAAAAAAAAATTTTTTTTTATGTGAAAAGAAAAAAAAGCCGAATTTATCGTATCCAGGACTACGTTATGCACACAAAAAACTAATTTTTGCATGCAAAAATTTTTTTTCGAAAAATGTTTGTTTGCGTACAAAATTCGATTTGCGGTTGAAAAAAAAAAACAAAATTACTTGAAAAAATTTTTGTGTCGCCATCAAAAAATGCCAGTCATACAATTTCCATATATGAAAATTGTATGGAAAACATTATTTTCAAAGAAATATTTTAAATCAGTTTTTTTTGTCACCAGTATGTTCAACTGTTCTCAAAAAGCCGCAGAAATGGTTTAATTTTTTTTCTATTGTTTTTAGAAAATGTATGAAAATTGTATGACAAGCATTTTCTCCATACACTTGATGTATGGATTTGTATGATAATGATTTTTGTTGTATGGAATTGTATGATAAGCATTTTCGATGTATGGAGGTCAACCCGGGTGTTTCTTTCCCTTAGATTAAACAGCCTCGAAATCAGTCAAAAATGAATTGAGGCAAATTAATTGGAATAATTGTAACAAAAATATGCAAGAAATATATCGCTCTTTAAATTCCGCCAGCGTGTGGTGTGATTTGTGACATATTCGTCAAAATTTGCAATCAAACGCTAGTTCCTTGTTGAAGAACAGATGTTGTTGAAGGCCATTCCACGAAGAAAAATTTAACTTGCCGATACCTACAATCGTGATTCGTTCGCATTTTCAAGTATACTGTGAATAATTTCGTAGGATAAAACAATTCTAAATAAAATACAATTTTGATCATTCTACTTAGTTTTGTGAAATTAATTGTAGATTAAATAGTTGAAAAAGAATTAATCAAAGAATTGCCAGCTGAACCGCAGTCATCAATTTGAGCAAAAAACATGGAAAACTTGTTAAAATTGGCTTAAAAAGAACCAAGTATAAACTTTAATGGGGTGAGATCGGTTACAATGGTATTGGATTTTATAATTATATTAATCTATAAAGGTCTATTTTTCAAAAAGCATGAAAGCGTTTCCCCTTGAGCAAATAAATAATTCGCCTTAGTGAAGGGTAATTTGTACTGGGTCTCGTTTATAGGCTTAGGGGAGGTACTTTAGCTGTTTTTTGTATAACTCGTTCGACGTTGGGGAAATGCGACTTCATTTGGAGTCTTTTTTACTAACGATGATCAAATTTATTTGCAAAATTGGACAAGAATGCATGTATCAGGGCGAATCCTCCTAAATTCCTCCCACTACTCAGAATTTTAGGTTCCTTGCAGTAGTATTAGTGTTCGCTTCACAAAAAAGAATTCTTTTTTTGACAAAATGAAAGATAAAACTTGAAGAAGTCCACCACACGCATGTAACGTGCTCAGTGATTTTTTTTTTGCATTTAGCGAAGTGTCACACTAAAAAGCATGCCTCGATTCAATTTGGAACGATTTTGTAAAAATGATTAAATCTCCACTCA